ACATTCTACCCCTGCCCCCCAGAAGTTCATGCCCATCTCCCAATACAAATGCATTTAGTTTATCTGCCAGAGTCCCATGGTCTTAACAGTTTCAGTACTGCCCAAAAGTTCTAATCCAAAGTCTCATCTGAGACCCAAGGCAAACTCCTTGCTGTTAACTTTAACTCATAATTCTCTTGCTGCAGTCTCCAGAGTTGCTGGGATTACAATCTTGGGCCATACTACTTGGCAGAAACTGGAAATTTTGTAACAATGAGTTTAATCTGATTTGTTTTAAAGAGTAGATCTTAATCAAGAAGGAAAAGAATGTTATTCCACTTGAAAAGTAGAATTCAATTTCAGTTTATATTATAGTGGTTAAAAAAATTGAACGTGTTTCAGATTTATATCCTGATTATTCATAGATCTGCAAATTGGGCTTTCTTTACCTTGAGTCACCAGAGCCATAAATCCTTCCTGGTTCTAAGTAGTTTTATATACAGCAGACAATTGCATTGGCATATAGAAAAAATGAATTAGACACCATGTTTGAATTCAGATGAGTATTACAACATTTTTCAAATATTGCCCATTGCCATTTAAAAGCATACTTAATATATTTATATTTTAAAAGCTATCAAACTTTCCAAATGTATCCCTTATATTTTATTGGATTATTCCACCTTGTTAATGATTTGAGCTGTAAAAATATGATGATTTGTATAACTTGACTTCATTTTTAAGGTCAGTGATCTGTTCTAGTTTTATTATGCCTCTTCTGATTATGCAGTTGTATTATTTTAGTGTGATCTTTATACTATGTGTTTTATATATTAGTATTTCACAGAGACATTTAAAATACTGCCTACTTAAAATTTCTCATTGTAGAGGTCATTCATAAGGGCTTTCTTTTGTTGATAGATTTGAGGTTTGATATTGCTGTTTATAGAAATTGTCATGTGTGAAATATATATTGTTAATCTGATCTTATAATGATTGATTTCTGTCCCACTCTAGACCCAAAGGTAAAGGAAACTTAGAATTTAAGCAAAAATAAATAAATAAGTGAATAAATAAAAGTGTGGTTGAGTCGATGGAAGATGTATACTATCACACAGCTAAAGGGTCAAGGGCTGAACTTTAGCAACTGTTGTATCTGGGTGCAAAGATGTCCTTGGGACTCTTTTGTACTACTTATCTTTGTGGATTCAGCTTGATCTCAGCCTCAGAGAAGCCCTCTTCATCTAGAGACAAAGTTAAAACACATGCCTTGCAAAGGGAAAGTTGTACCATAGGGTTGGCAGTTTTCATCTGGTCTAGCAGAAGCTGTTTCTGAAGGCAAAGATATTTGGCTAACAACAACAAAAAAAATCACAACAAAGCCTCTTGGTCTTGACACCCTGATGCTGTGATCTATGTCTGTGAAAGTGTCTCGATTGGCATTTGCTTCCTCTTGCACATTTTTCTTTCCCCTCTTGCAACCCACTCTGGTTTTGAAATTCAACCTCTCGTTCCTTTTAACTCCCATGGACCCTTACTGTGAAACCCGTGAAATTCTATATCACTAGCCATGAATGATGAACCCTGCTTAACTTCTCTACTGCTTTGCTCAGTGTCTGAAACTAGCTCTGTAAATTAAATTTTCTGATCTTTAATTAGATGCTTTATATTTTAGACAATATATTAGTCAGAACCAGTAAGAGTAGGAGTTTACAGAGTGAGAGATGTAATTAAGATTGAGAAGCCCCATGATCTGCCAGTGGAATAGTTTAGTCTCAGTCTCAAGACCCTACAACTAGAGCAGCCAGTGGTGTGATAATGTAGAGATCTTGGTGTGTCTCAGCTCAAGCAAGCAGAATGGATGAATTTTTACTTCCTCTTCTGCCTTTTGCTCTATTCTTGACTCAAAAGATTGGATGTTATCCATTCACATTGGGGAAGTCAGTCTGCTTTACTGTCCACAAATTCAAATGATCTTATTCAGAAACCTCCACACAGACACACCTAGATATGATCTTTAATCAAATATCCAGGCAGTCTGTGATCCAGTCAGGTTGATACATAAAGTTTACCATGATATACACCATTGTTTTATTATTATTAGCAGCCATGTAATTCAAAATCATTTATAATATATATACTAAAATATTTATACCAGTTCTGCTGTGATGTTCAGTTATGTGGATGTTAAATCTGGATGCAATATTGCCTCCAATCCATACAAAATACATAACTTCTTTTAGAGTTTCTTAGGATGTATTTAATGAATATCTGTAAAACATACTTATAGTTAACATTTAGATGATAGAATTGGTTTAGCGTATCTTATCCCAAAGGTTCTTCTATTTTACAAGTTGTTGTCAAGAAATCCAGAGTTTTAGGAATGGATTTCTACTGATACTCTAACAATAGCCTCATAAGCAGTCATTGTCTAGACAAAGAAAAGAATAGGTTTAAGATAATACAATTAGAGTCAAACTGCATGAGTTCAAATCCTGATTTCATTTACTAGCTGTGTGACATTAGGGAAGTTACTTAGCCAATATATTGTTAGTGAGATAAATTATATATGTAGAAGGCTTAGAATAATGCCTGGCACAGAATAGATGTCCAATAAATAATTGTTGAATAAATTTCGCTCTGTGGCATACTATCTCAGCATGATACCAAATGTATGATCATTCTCAATAAAAGTTTCTTGAGGGGGAAAAATGATTGACATAGATAAAAGTTTTTTTTTTAGAAATTCTGTTGCTTTAATATTAGTCTTAAAAGTTTATCATTATTATCATTCATTGAGTTTATTCTCTTAAATATATTTTATTATTAAAACGAGTTTTATGCCAGATTATGTTAATTCCACAAATTGAAAAAAATCTATTCACTATTTAACTTCTACAGATATTTCTTTAAGGAAACCTGTTCAACCAGGTGTGGTGATACACACCTGTAATTCCAGCCTTTTGGGAGGCTGAGGCAGGAGAATCTCGCAAGTTCAAAGACAGATTCAACAACTTACTGAGACCCTGTGTCAAATTTTTAAAAATTATCTGGGGATGTGACTTAGTGGTTAAATTCCCTGTGTTCAATCCCTGGTACCAAAACAAAGAAAGAAAAAAAAAGGAAAGAAAACCTATTCAAACAGTAGAGTAGAGGAAGGGGCTCAGTAGGAAGGAGGAGGAAGGTGAAGGATAGGAGAAGAGTAAAAGGAGGGAAGTATTGGGGATTGAAATGGAATAAATTATATTACACTTATTTATGAATATGTCAAAATGAAGTTACTATTATATATAACACTAATAAAAATGTAAAAGGTAAAAATAAAAGGAAACCTCATTATCTGTTTGATAAGTGTATCTTTTCTCTAATTGAAACAACATGGTACAGTAAAAATAAATTATTTAACTATATCATATGATCTGTGGAAATTTTACAGCAAGTGATAATTCTTCTTACTTAAGAATCAAAAAATTGCAGGCTAATGTTGTAAAAGAAAATAGAAATAATGCATCTAATTTATTTAGGAGGAGTAATAGTTGAAGGTGAATTCACTTAAAATCATTTTGTTTTCATATCAACATGTACATTAACCTGTAAATATTTTGTATTCTTCCTTCAATTACACACACACACACACACACACACACACACACACGCCCACATACTTACCAAAAAAGTGTAATTTATATAAACTTCTTATTCCACCACTCTTGGCTTCAGACAGAGGTAGATTCATATAGTGGTTTCATCATTATCCAAATGAGAAGAGTTTATTCAGCCTTTCTGAAGCAATTTCCTTATCTGTAGAACTGGGAAGATGATATCTCTGCACTGAGTTGCTGTGAAAATTAAGGGAGCCAACAGTCTAGATGTACCCTGCTCCTACGTTTATTTCTTTTCTGTGTCTCACACAATTTCTTCATTATTTAATATCTCATAAAACAGTTTTACATCAATCAATAAAAATAAATTCATCATACTTCTCTTTATCTTACATCTTAGTTTAGCATCTTATCAAAGGTATCTGCAATATGCTTTGATAGTTGTTGATTAACATGGTCTCAAAGAGGTAATATAAAACAGTGTATTGTTATGCTGTACACTGCTAAATTAAGTTCCTTACCACACCCATACACCTGGATTCCCTTTACTTCCAGGTCACTTCTCCCAAACTCACTCAGAGGTTTTAAAAGGAAATATGGAGTATCTTGAATATGTATAATCCCCAAATAAAAAGCGATCAAAGTCAGTTTACGTACTATTAAATGGTATCATTTATATAGAGAAACATATAAATTCTTATCATTAAACTTCCATGAAAGCCATTAACTATTTATATGTAAAAAGAAATGTTGAAATATTTTTAAATTTCAGATGTTTAATGATTTTTACATTGAATTTTCTGAGCTATTATTTAATTGATCTTGCTTTGAATTCATTATATGATATAGTGTTGGGATACAGAAGCACTAAATTTAACAATTAGAAAGAAAAATGATTTTCTTTTTCTAAATCAAAATCAAATGCCCTTTTGAGAATCACAGAAAACTTATAGACTGCTTTTAAAGCATCTTATAATTAGTATTTCTAATATCACTATCCGTTCAAAGAATACTAACACAATTAGACTGACTATGCTCTGAGGCCAGATCTACTTTGAATAACATGTGATTTAATGATTCTCCTGTAAAATTAATTACAGATTGCATCTTTGGGGGAATATAAATATTGATTGGAAACAGTAATTGCTCTTGAAGAGCAAAGTTCAATAAAACTTTCTGCGATGATGGAAATGTTCCATGTGGCTATTGAGCCCTTAAAACATGACTAGCAAGAGGAGGAAAATGCATTTTTACTTTCATTTGAGTTAATTGTGATTTAAATTAAAATAGCTACAGTGCTGGTGCTATCAACGCCAAGACATGATTTTTTTTGAGCCACAGCAGAATTAAAAATAAAACATAAAATTCGTAAACGTGTTTGATGAATTTATAAGCAGCAATGTCACCCTTTCTTTTCAGTCTCCTGCCCATAGTTACTCAAGCTATGAGTCTGGCAAAAATGAGAGTGTAGACCGAGGCGCCGAGGACCTGTCACTCAACAGGGGGGAAGAGGATGAAGAGGATCACGATGACCATGATGATTCTGAGAAAGTTAACGAGACGGATGGTGTCGAAGCAGAACGGCTGAAAGCTTTTAATGTGAGTCCTGCCACGCTCCCAGTGTGGTTTGATTTTTTTTTTTTTTTTCCTAGTTCACTTTCGTGGTGTTGCCTGTTGGTCAATGTGGATATTTTAGAGACGTGTTTGTTTAATTTGCAGAAGGATTTTAAAAAGTACAGGAAACACTCTTTGCCAACCAGACACCAGAATTGCTGTGTTTTGTTTAGAATTTTTAAAGCCAAATGTGAGCTGAAAAACTGGAATTGTGTTGTGTGAGTATGCATGTTTACCCAGTGGACGAAGGGGGACCCCTGCTTCGTCCTTGGTTGAGTACGCCTGTCCGTCCTGTGACCTCTTTTCCTTTCCTAGTTTATCTAATTATGCATGACAAGAGTCAATTGTTTGTTTTCAGAGATTAGTCCACTGTGCAGCGTAGGAACAGTCGTATTTATTGTTAATAGAGAATTTAATGGGGTGCTCAACTGTCACAGTCTACTGTTATTTCCTGATTTTTTTTTCCTACATAATAGTCTATTCTTTTCTGTCTGTCTGTCTGTCTGCCTTTCTCTCTTTCTCTCTTTCGGTTTTTAAAATTTCCAACCATTTAGAAAAAAAAAATCTTTTTAAAGAGTGTTTGCTTAAAATTTCTGGCTTTCCATTGCAAAGTTCTCCAGTGCATAAACCAGAAAAGAATATTTTCCTATCGGTAATCAAGACAGGAAGCTAGGAACAGAAGAGAGCAGCCCTCCAAACCCTTCTCCTCTGTCTCCCTCTTGCCAACAGATGTTTGTCAGGCTGTTTGTAGATGAAAACTTGGACCGAATGGTCCCAATCTCTAAGCAGCCCAAAGAAAAGATCCAGGCTATCATTGACTCATGCAGGCGACAATTCCCTGAGTACCAAGAGCGTGCCAGAAAACGTATACGTACTTACCTCAAGTCCTGCAGGCGGATGAAAAGAAGTGGTTTTGAGATGGTGAGTTCTGAATTAAAACACAGCCCTAGATTCCATCCAAATCCCACATGTAAACCATGACACTATTTTTTTTATCATCTTAGTGTCTTTTTTTTTTTTTCTCCATAATGTCAGGTCAAAGGGGTTTCTGTTCACTTGTTTGTTTTTCCCCCCCTTCTCCTTTTCATCTTCCTGAACTATTTTATTCCCTCTGTTTATTTAAAAAGGCATGTCTTGTGAGATCAGGGCTCACAGGACCACATGGTACCATGTCACAGAAAAAAATGAGGGTGATACAAGTAAAACCCCAGGGAGAACCAGCATCTCCTTTGGGGTGGCTCCCTTCCTGTCACGGCTGAAGTGGCATGAGGGTCAACAAGGCTTGAACTGAAGCAGGAGGTGTTGTATCATTCACATGGCCCACGAGCATGGTTTTCTCTGGAACAAAAGGAAATGGATGGATCCATCTAAACAATGTCATATTCGTACCACCAGTTAACAAATAGCAAACCTTGAAAAATCAAGATCAGGGAATGAAAATGCTCAGATGAAAAATAAGTCTTTCTTGTGCTGGGGATGTTTACTTCTATACTTTTGAATGATACTGTTAGCTTTTGAATTGAGCTGGGCTTTATAGATGGATGATGTTAGGCTGGAATTAGATTACTTGAGGGGATGGAAATTAGAAAACAGTAGGGTTTTTTATTTTTCCCCCAAACTTTAGTCTACGTTACCTTGCTCTCATGGTTACACCTAGAAATAGCACATACTTGTGCATTGTATGCTTTATTCATTTTTTAAAACTTTTTTTTTGTATATGTGTGAACAGGAATGTAATAGAATTATTTGGAAACATCTTTTTTTCTACACTTAGCTAAGACAGCTCCATACAGGCCTAAACTATTAATGTTTGTGATATGTGCTTTTAATTTAGGTGTAATAGGGTAGGAGTTGGTATAGATAATCGAGGTTTTTGAGAGTGCCATATATGAAAATTTTGCAGATGTAAAAATCTTGTGAAATGAATGACAAATCCACTGTACATTATCATTTTTTTTCTACATTGGTTTACAATATCATCCTTGTTATTTTTTAAAGGAAAAGTTACTATTATTTAAATAGGAGGACATATTCCAAGTGGTCAGAAACAGGAGCACAGGTTATGTTGCCTGAGAGCCTGGTTTTGGATTCAGAATCCACCACTTTCTAGCAGGATGCCCTGGGCAAGTTATTTTAACTGTCTGTGGCTGGGTTCCTCCTCTGCAGAGCACATTAATTTCTAATTTGTAGAGTTGTGAGAAATTATATAAGTTGTCTCCCTTCTTCAAGTCATTTTTGGCATATATGAAGCATTCAATAAATCTTAATCCTGAAAATATGATTAAATATTATTTAATTTCAGCATCTGAGAAAAAGCTTCCTCAGCTATTTTTATTATAGAGTTGCTGAATACTCCAATGGAATATTTCCTTACTTCTCAGTGTAACCCACATTGGAGTGGAAGGTTACAGTGGATAAATTCATTTTTAAATAAAAATAGCATAACTTAGTAAACTAAAATTTCACAATAGATTTGGTACGGCATAAGAGAATGAGAGATTGCTTGATCAAAATAAAACTATTACCTCCATTATGGAACTAATTATTATTGTGAGCTACACAATAGGAGACAGATAATAGATGAAAAGGACATATGAGCAAGTGTTTGAACTCAGAAGCCAGGCATTGACAATCAGGGTCAAGGCCACTGACATACAATTTCAATGGAAACTAAGAATATCTCAGAGTACAATGTGGTGTACACAATAACTTCTTTCAATAATAAAAAAGATAATAATGTACATCATGGTTTTTATTTTTACAAGCATCTGACATCACTACTGTTTTTTTTAAATCTTTTAACGTTATTTAGATATTCTTTTCTTTGGTAAAATTTACCTTGTTTTTTATGTATAATTTTTTTAATATTAATTATTCTATAAGAGAAAGAAATCACCACCATGCAGAATCCTGAAAGTTCTCTCTGGTATATTTCATACATTTAACCATTTTTTAAAATTAATTGCCATTTTTATTCATTGTACTTTAACATGGACATCTATTTGGTATAAACCTTGTGCTCTGCATAGAGAAGGACAAAAAGTTGAGACTCATACAAAGTCAAAAAGTTTTACAGACTAATCTTGATATAAATATTCTGTAAAGAAACAATAGAGTTTTTGACTTCTAATAATGTTCATTTATTCGTTTGTTCACTTACTCAGTATGTGTATATGTACATAGAATTATAGAAAGTAATAGGGAAAAATGTATGTCTGACTAATTATTTAGGAAAGCATAGCATGCTTTCTGATCATCTTGATGTGTTGAGGTGACAGTTTTGTGAAATGAGATGCTTAAGTAGTAATGCAAGGTTTTATGTAACCAAAAGATCAAAACTTCAACATGTGTGCCTTTGGGAGACACATACAAAGACCATAGAAACACAGGTCAAAATTTTAATGTTTTATGTATTGTTTCATTGTCACAGAGTGTGGGTAGGATTTTGTGTCATTTTGAGTACTCATCCTTATCTAAAACGATAGGAAAAGGCATGGCTAGTGAAGGTAGCAATTAAAACTAAATATTTCACATGAAATAATTTTGTGCCCATAATTTTTATTTTATCTATTTATTTTGGGAGTGCTCAAAATAAACCTAGAAGTGCTCTACAACTGAGCTACTTCCCCTGTCTGTTTATTTTGAAACAGGGTCTCACTAAGTTACTCAGGCTGATCTTGAATTTGCAATCCTTTTGCCTCATCCTCATCAGTAGCTGGGATTAGGGTATGTGCCACCATGCCCAGCATTCCCATAAATTTTAAGTATAATATAAGGTAACATTCAGGACTGTCATTTAAAATAAATGAAACAATGTTAAACAACAATATTTCCTTATGTAAAGTGTGTGATTATTTTTAAATGCATATTATTCTGAAATATGTAACAAGGCAACAGAGTCTTTTGTTATCTCTAAAATGTGATTGTAAAGTGTAGGTTTATTTAGGAGAGAATTATGAGTTGATAAAAAGAAAAAAATGACATCCAACAAGCTTAGCTCTTCCAGTTACTTAGATCTCTAAAGACAGAAGAATAAACAGGGCAACACAGAAATATTAGATTATGTTTCCTGACTTTAAGAAATTCAAAACCAAATTTTCATGGAAGTGGTTTATCATCACAACCTGTCAGTAATATACTTGAGAATCTCAGCATTGACTTTGCTTTTCAGCATTGTTAAAACAAAAATCTATTTATATTTAATTATTCTACCTTATCCCTAATGAATTTACATGCCAACACAAATACTTTTAATTGGCTTCACTGAATTCATATAAACATTGGAATATGCATTTATTCATTTTTATTTCACTGGGATTATGAAAACCTCACAGGTTTCAATTGCTTAAGCCCCAAAACTTTCTATGTCATGCTCCAAATAGTCTCTATAATGCATAAAGTGGAATAACTATATTATGATTCTTTTCTTCACATTTTCACCAATTTACCTTTACCAGTCTCATCATACAGTCTTCAGTTTTGGGTGCAGAAGGACATACTTAGTGAAAAATAAATTTAATAAGTTTGATCTAGAGTACTCTCAGGGTTCTCAGTGGAGTGTAGGAACCCAATGAGTTAAGTAGCCATTAAATTAAACTTTAAATAAATACTGTGTATCAGATTGTTATTGATTCTGTTGTGTGGCTTTCACTCTCAAATTACTTCAGCTACTTCTCTAAAGAATAATTGTTGATTATTCCAAATCAGAAATGCCTTTCTCCAAAGTGCCTTGATCTTCAATTCAATAGCAGCTATAATAGAAAACATGGTAAAAACAAAGCTTTATGAAGAAGGTAGGGTTGGACCCTACTGAGGCTCCTCTGTGTTATGTGATACAATTTCTCTCATTTGTTTCCTAAATTTGAACAGAGACACTGCTACATATGTTTACTTGTATACTTGTATTTCTGTAACACTGAGAAATATTTAGGGGAGATATTGTATGAGAGATTTTCAGTCCATTTTTCCTCTTATATCCCAGATTTTGCCATTCTACCCAGTTGGACCAAGTAACCTAGATATTTGAATGCAAAAACCTCAGCTTCCTGAGAAATTACCTAGTTTTTATTATTATGTGATTGACTTTTTTATTTGCAGAAAAACTCATGAAACATTTTATAAAATTTTGTCAAGGATATTGTCTATTAAACTATTAAATATCCACTGTGAAAGATCTCATTTTGGAAACTTCTTTAGAACTCAGTGCAATTAAAAAAAAAAATTCTCATGAGGAAATAGAGTAGTACTTTATTTCCATGAGGAAATAGGGTAGTGCTTTCATCTCTTCTTACTATCATCAGCAGTGTACAACTTAATATCTCCAATTCTGTGGCTCACTGCCAGGAAGTTCAAAAGCAAACTCTTTCCTATGCCCCTGTTTGTCTTTCTGTGGATCTTTGTTTACTTATTTCCTTGGTGGATCTGATACCTACTTTAGAGAAAAAGGTGAGATATGAATTTTGAAAAACTAACAAAATGATACAATTCTAGAAACATTTGAAACATTGGTTTCATGTTAAAGAAATATTATGTGTGTGTATATTTATATAAATACACACACACACACACACACACACACACACACACAATTTCTCCTGCCCCTGAGATTTGACTTCTCATATCGTTTGTTTCTACCTATCTAATGGAGCTCAAAGTAGAGAAATTAGATCTTGTTTTTAATACACAGCCTCCCTGATTCTATAAGCATTGCAAAAGCCATGATGACAATTGCAATGCATCTTTTAGGAGACAAAGCTATTATAAAAGTGAATTCAAGTGCTTCTTTAAACTGAAAATTTTATCAGAAGTATTCCCAGCCCTTCATAGAAGATTTTGACAGAAACTTTCTAATATGTGTGTAGCTATTATTAGCCACCTTATTCTTCACATAACATGACCACACTACGCAGGTTTTTCTCTTT